GCTACGATTTTAACAGAATATGCAGAATTAGAAACCGTACTTGTTCGCTGACTCTGACTAGCAGTTTGAGCTGACTGTGTTTCCGCTGTAATAATCAAGGTTGCGGCTAAAATAAGCGGAATTTGTTCACGACAGGAATTCTCTTCACAAAATTTATTTCTAGAAAGGTTAATAAAGAAGTTTTGTGCTGAATTAACGTAAGATTTTACAACGCTTGTATTTTTTTTAAAAAAATAATTAATTTTAGTGTACTTTGAGTTCAGTTTCGTCCTTAAAAGATTACAAACATAAGTTTATTATTCAAACATATTCTTGTGTCTTTAAAGATTCTAATAATTAACTTCTCAAATAATATTACCGCGAGATTATTTAATTACTTTTCTCACATTTCCGCTGTGTCTTGAAGACAAAACGCGGGCCAAATTGCCGTAGGAACTGGTATAATTCTGAGGAATTTATTTTAAACTAATTACTATGGATTATAACGTAAATACAAAATGTTCTTGCTTTTTGGGACAATATTTTTTTCCCCTATAATTTTCAAAGATACGTATCGATTTGTGTAAAAAAGATTGACAACAAATGAAATGAAACGTCGAATTCCCTCGCAAATGCCGGAGAGAGAATACCAATATTAATAATGGCGTCGAATTATTACAAACAAATTCTCTCTCGTGTGTTTCAGTAAGGATCGTCGCCTTCTACCTAAGCTTCTACATTGTCCTCGCCATCTTCTTTGCGCTGTACTTTTGGTTGTTCATGAAGACGATCAGTTACGATGGTCCGAAATATTATCTCGACGACTCGGTGATTGGAACATCGCCAGGTATGTCTTCATCAGCATCATCATCTGTGTTCCAAAGAGGAACATTTAACGTACAGCCTGACTCACGAAAAGTTTAAATAACATCTTTAATATTCATCTAATCTATGAACACGGAGATTTGCCCCGTGTGAACACGACATGGACTCTGAAGGACAGTGGGAACTGTGTTAATTATTACGGGGAGATGGTCACAGGAATGCAGTGTCTGAGGAAGAACGAGTTAACTTTTACTGCCGAATGTTTCCGTAGATTCCGGATCTAACAAGCGGAATTCGGAATTAACTGCGTCGCGTCCGGTTATTTGCAGACAGCGCCCTCCCTCTCACCAACTTCCTGGTTGGCACGATGACCACGTTTAAAGCCCTCGCGAGGAAGATTATTGAAATGATTCATCCGAGTTTCTATTACGTTGTGAATTAATTACGAACGTCGTTCCCGTTTAACCGATAATTGGATTGAAATAACACGAGGGCTGAAGTAACCAGGCCTTTCCATTAAATTCTAAAAGTTCAGTTTAGACCACGAACACTCCAGCCCTTGGGAAAAATTATATTCTTATTATTACTTTAATTAGATTGCGACCTCGACCTTTGATCATCCGAGGGCTAAGAAAACAAACGCGCGCCCTTGTGACGTCACTCGCGTTTCTAGCATCGTTGCCTGACCTTGCGTCTCTACTCTGTGCTCACCCTTCATGAAATAATGCAGCAGTTGGCAAGCCTGTGCTACCAACATTTCAGGCCTAACCTCAATTAAGGCTTCGACCGGGATGTTCTTTTGTTAAATCTTATGTGGTACCGCCTGATTCGACTTCTAATGGTTAAGTGAAGTGTTTTCTTCGCGGTACGGTCTGGATTCGTAAATATTATGAAGACGAGCTTCGTCTTCAAAGGGTTAACCAGCTGATTTTCGTAATGGTGAGGTGTAGTGTTTTCTTCGCGGTACGGACTGAATTCATAAATAATATTCAGACGATCTTCGGCTTCAAAGGGTTAACCAGCTGATTTTCGTAATGGTGAGGTGTAGTGTTTTCTTCGCGGTACGGACTGAATTCATAAATAATATTCAGACGATCTTCGGCTTCAAAGGGTTAAGAAACGAGAGAAATTAATGAAATCCGTCGATTAATTAAAAATAACTGAGAATTTCTTCTCGACATGTTGGAGAGTGAGTGAGTTTGCTCTTATGCCGTGGCCAATTTCATTTCAGGTCTTGGATTTCGTCCCCTGTCGGAGGTGCACGAAGGGAGCTCTCTGATATGGTACAATACGAGTTCCGAGACCAGCCACAAGAACTGGACCATGAGCCTAGACAAATTTCTGGAAGGTGGGTCGTGTGCAGTCATCGAGTGTTTTGGTGCGAAAGGGCGACGATCACGTGATGCGAAGTACAGTTTGGAGGCCAGCTATTGGTAGCACTGCCGCGTCTTACGGCTCGTTAAACTTACTCTCTTAATTCACGTTTTCCATCGCTCACGAGTGAAAATAATTATGTGAGTTTCGTCAGTAATAATAATTCGCCTCACGCCTTTTACGACTCCCCAAATTAGGAACAGGAAGTACGTCACATTAGGCTCGCCTTTCTCGCGACTGTCTTTTGTTTTGTAGGTTATGTATGAAAATATAACAAAATTGTAGTAAACAAAGCAGCAGAATGGAAAAGATCGGGCTTTGTTTGTTGTTGTCGAAGATCGTGCGTGGGATTCAGTCGACTTTCCTCAGGGTTAAAATGAAGGAAAGCGCACACTTGGAAGATGTAGTCGTAGATGGGAGGATAATGATAAAGTTTCTCTCAGGTAAATCATGTGCAAGGCTGCGGGTCGAATTAACTTGTTTGAGGACAAGGCAGAGGATTTCTTGACTCGACGTAGTCATGATGATGATGATGATGATGATGTTTCAGGATACAAGAATCGAACAGTTGGCTCGAATATTGTTGGGTGCGACTACGGCAATAAACCGGGATACGGCGAAGTGTGCGCCGTGGACGTGGATACTTGGAAGCCGTGCACGTCTGCGAACACCTTCGATTACCTTAACAGCTCACCGTGCGTCTTCATTAAACTCAACAAGGTTGGTCCGCCCCTCGCTTTCTCGAATCACGAGCTAAAAGCCTTCGACTTCGATGAGTTCCTCGCGACGCCAGAAACTCCAGGGTCCAAATTTGGCTCGTTCTTTGAGGCAGCGTCTGATTCCGTGTGTCTTCCGGAAGTCAAATATGAAAATGGATGTCGTTCAGTTTGGTATTTTGTTCAATTATGACAGTAAAATGATTGGACGCAAAGTTTTTGAAAACAGTGACGCGGAGCTTTATATAATTTCGCAATGTCAATTTGTATGAAGAGAGGATTCTAATTAATTTAATGACGTCAGGCGACCTCTGACCCAGGATCTGAAGCACGTAAATAAACACCAATTCAAATTATCCTCGAGATTCAGCCTCAGTTCTTCTTACTCTTGTCTCTGAATTCGTTACGTAAGAAAAACTACTAAGGCCCCAGATCGCAGTCTCCTTGGGTCGCGTAGTCACGACTACGTAGAGTCACTTTTATGGGTTTTTCTAAGACACTGAAGCTAGAGTTTAAATATCTGAAGTCTTAGTTCACATGGCACGTGCTTAGGCGTGTCGAGAAGAATATTTCGTACGTGCGGGCATGCGCGGTAGAGGCGAGCACAAGCCGACTTTTACAGCATCAAAAACCAGGAGCCACATCCGCGCGTCTTGTGATCTTGAGTTGTTCGATCCAAGATAATTTCTTTTGTTACAGATCCTGAAGTGGGAACCAGATTATTTCAGAAATGCAAATGACCTACCAAATGAAATGCCTGAAGATCTGAAAAATCATATTAAAAAGAAGGAGAAGGAGGACCCCAAGTTTGTAAGTTCTGAAACCCAAGCCTCGTCCTGCCAAGCTCAGAGCTGAAGCCACGAACTAACTCGCAGGACGTTTTAAAGTCGTAATTAACCCTTTGAAGCCGAGGATCGTCTGAATATTATTTATGAATTCAGTCCGTACCGCGAAGAAAACACTACACCTCACCATTACGAAAATCAGCTGGTTAACCCTTTGAAGCCGAAGCTCGTCTTCATAATATTTACGAATCCAGACCGTACCGCGAAGAAAACACTTCACTTAACCATTAGAAGTCGAATCAGGCGGTACCACATAAGATTTAACAAAAGAACATCCCGGTCAAAGCCTTAAAATACTTTTCGTGAGCTCTCCTCGTGCCTTATCGAATATTTTCCACTTGGACCTTAGACTAAGATGGCCGGGGGTCATAGCCCATTCTAAAAGTAATTATTATTAGCGATAAAGTTTGTGTGTGGTTGCAGCTGGACACAGTCTGGGTGAGTTGTGAGGGCGAGAACCCTGCAGACAAGGAGTTCATTGGGGCGGTCGAATACATCCCTTTTCAAGGATTTCCAGGCTACTTCTATCCATTCCTAGGCGTGGAAAACTACGTCAGTCCGCTGGTTGCTGTGCACTTTAAAAATATTACAAGTGAGTATTATCTCGCCTATGAAACGATGGAATATATAAATAAAATTGTTTGTTTTTGTTTTGTTTATTTATTTATTTTTCGTCACAGGAAATTACTTTAATTGTAGCTCAGTTGGTCTAATGACCGGGGTTGCGTTACAGCAGAGCAGGAGTTTTCATTTCGTCCAACATTTCTCGAGTTTATCCTATAGACAGACGGACAGAGCAGCCTTTTATGCATTAATTTCATGGAATAAAAGCAGAGGAAACGAATTGTGTTCGTGACTCATCACCAGACTATTGCGCGTAATAAGTACGTAAAGGTGGTTAATAAATTCCTTGGAAACGAGGCTTGGTCGTGGAGGTGTTTCGGAATGACACAAAAAGTCAAATTAAGAACACACTAAGTTTGGTACCTAAAAGCAGACGTGGAACACAGTCGTGTTTGTGGGGCGGATCGTAATGAGTGGGGCAGAGCTCTATGGGAGGCAGTCCGCGATTTTAGCTGAGTTATATACGTAGTGAGGTTAGGTTGGGTGGAGTTCAGATAAGTTAGGTTATGTTTGATTACTTGAGGTGCGTGGACACGCCAGGCGTGCACTGGGGATGGTGCCCCTGAGTTTAGGGACGTAGTTGACGCGGGAGAATGCTCTCCTGGGAGAAAACGCACGAGTGAGTTGCTGCAGTGGATGGGGCAGAGGCCAGTTCATGGGGCGTGGCCCTAAACAGCGAGGGCGAGTGTTTTGCAGGGTGTGGCAGATATGACTTATAAGATCCAGCCCATGGTTAGGGAGCAGCCCCATTATGGCTTGGGTTAGGTTAGGTTAGGTTAGGTTGGGTTAGGTTAGGTTAGGTTGGGTTAGGTTAGGATAGGTTTGGTTAGTGGATGAAGGTTTAGCGTTGATATTATTGATAAATCTATTTTCAAGTGTCGCGTGCAATTGATGTAAAAATTAGCAAAGAACGCTCGTGGACACATTAAAATTTTTAGCCTTGCTTACGTTTATGTATTGTACATTACTTATAAAGTGAATCCTTTCGTCTGTTGCAGGGAATGTTCTTGTGAACGTGGAATGCAGGGCGTGGGCTCACAACATAGAGCACAGTCGACGTGATCGAATTGGACTCGTTCACTTCGAGCTATTAATCGATTAGTTAAGTGCCTGGACTTGAAAGCTGCCGTAGAATATTTGAAGATGCTTTCCAGTTTATTTTGGCACTTGGGGGGGAAGAATTATAGAGAAAACAAATCTGGTAGTAGGATAAAGTTGGAGGCACTGACTCTGATGATTCAGTGTTGCAAACTTATGAGTTTTATCCCTACACTCGTTATTATTCAGTGCATTTTTTCGTGAACTCTTATGAAATGTAACTTAGATTTTAAAACTCTTTTTTTTTTTGCAAGTATAAAAGACGCGAGTACAGACAAACAATTTGGTGATTGTATTAAGGGTTTTTTGGTAAACGTGAATGTAAATTGTTTTCAAAGAACCTGCCAATATTCTGATAACTTAATTTATATCTTCGGCCTTAGGAACAAACCAAAATTTTAGAGAACACTGAAGTTGCCATTTTCAGGGTAAATGTCTCTTAGGGTTCAGAAAGCACTGGGCAGTGGGGGGGGGTCGTGATCAGACGCAAATAGGAGCAGTATGTTGTCCAGTAGGAAGCAAAAGTTGTTAAGGAAACGAGGCGATGAGGAAACATTTCGAGGACCAATTAGTCAGGTAAAGAGATAATGATTTATCTCTCAACAAAAATCACGTCATCTCTGAAAATACGGTCTTCAATAAGCCACAGTAGTTTAGCTTAATTATTACTGAGAGTCTTACAAATTTCTACCAGACTAAATGGCACAACGTCTTCATACTTGCCACCATGAAAACTTGAAACTTCTCTTACGTATGATACTTTTTTTTTTAATGATACTGATTTTGATGAACAGTGGAACGAATATTTGCAGAAGAAAATCACTGAAGTCGAACTCCAGGAAATAATTGTCCATAATAATTAGCAGAAAGGTGAAATCAATCACTGAGCCATTATGTTGGCAACAATAAATATAATTGCAAAATGCCACACACCCTGGTTTTTGTTAAGCCCCCCGGCTCTCCCTCTTTTAAGCCCCATTCTGGCCATACGAAGCCTCTGTACCTCAATGCCGACCACCTTCGTCCACGCGCCGGCTCCCTGCTGAGGGATGTCCAAAGTAGGGAACTCCTGAAACAGAAAATCCCCGGTTCATATCCTCTGCTGGTTGAGAGACACAAAAACCTCAACTAAACTTGGGACGAGATGACAATTCTAAATTTACCGCCTCACCTGGTGAATACCACCCCCTCTGAACGTCCTTCCACGCCGACCACATCAGAGCTTCGACTCGAAGTTCGCTGATGCGCGGAACCCCTTGGTTCCGGAAGTTGGAAGGCACTTGTGCCGATCCAGGGCCGACTGAGGTCACCCACGGGCAACCGAGGGACCAAGTCGGCGCAACGAGTTTTCTAACCTCAATCAGCTAAGCTGAAGCTAAGCTGATTGAGGTTTTCCGTGTTTTTCCTCAGTTGTACAGCAAATGCCAGGTTATGATTCAGAACTAACAAAGTTAAACTAAAATTGGCCACTCCAATTCGTGATAGGCCTACGCGTTCATTCTAAATGAGGTCTTTGCGATTTCACATTATAGCGGGCGTCACTGGTTATAACTCTCATGTATGTTAAGCAAATATGTTCTTTTATTGTCATCCGAAATACAACCTGTTCCATAAAATATCACTTCCCCTTGGTATTTTGTTAAAATGTACACCATTCCTGAAATTGTTCCAAGTAAACTCTACAGGTGGTGTCTGTACATTCTGTTGTACACTGAATTGATTCGTATACAAACAACGAAGTTCGATTAAATTCCATATAAAGTACGTGTTTTATGGGACCAAATTAACTTCATGTCATAAATTTTAATGCGGTCTATACTCCAACGATAAGGCAATTGAAGAAATCTGCGTCGGTCTCTCGCGTCTGAGGCCTTGAAAACACTTGTAAGATTCCAACATTTCGGAGAAACGTGGGATAATGGCGATCAGTTGAATGATGCTGCGGTTTGTGAATAGAAGAAAGACAAGTCAGTGTATCGAAATATTTCTCTTCCCTAGATCCACTGAGCTTCGAAATGAAGTTATTTCGAAATTCGTCTGCCAAGTTATTTATAACACGACAAGTGTGTACGTAGGAACGATGTGGAGTTGGCGCCATCCAGTGGTCACAACATGAACAACACTGACTTGCGCATTGACTCGCCCTCGAGTCTCCAGTCTTCTCTCTGCGGCGCGCGGGAATACATTGTCGTCCACGTCTGACAAAATGCCGAAGTACGTGGTGAGCAGTTCGCAGGATGAAACTGAGCAGGCTTTGAATCCAGACGGCGCAAATGCAAAAGTGAGCTTCAACAACAGAGAATCATCGCCGACTCGGAAGAAATCGATAATAAATCGAGGTAAGTGGCTCAAATTTCAGCGGCAGGCCACCGTTGAAATGAAAGAAAATTAGGTTAGGTTTCGACTCTGATGAAGTCGTCTGTATGCTTCGACGGATGCGTGACGTCACATTCAGGAGGCGTTGGCAATCGACGTAGGACGCTAATTCGAGTAGAAGCCCTGTGAGACATTTAACGTGTTCGTCATGAAATCATAACAAAGTGGTCAACTGCTGAGAACTTGTGTTACGAATTGGCATTGATTACTGAACTGGAAGGAATCTGTAGTGGGCGATTTGAAGCTGACATACGAAGCTGAGTCAACTACACACCACATGTATAACCCGACGTTTCGTAACCGGTGTGCCCCCAATTTTATAAGAAACTGTACGCTCGCAAGTTATAGTTAAAAAAAGCAGCAACTTATCATAATTCGTAATCAGACACACACTGCTACGTCATCGACATTTTTATTCGACATGTGCCACGTTCTGTTCTAGTAAGCCTGAATTCTTGCAGGGGGAGAATTTACAAGTGGATACACGTTTATGGGTCATCTATAGTTCCGCGCCTCCTTTTCGTGAGGCGAAGTTTTGTGGAGAGCCGTCATGTGTGTGTGTGACAAATTGGGGTGTGTCGCGAGTGAACAAAGCTTGCGTAAGCCTGGTCTAAGCACGCAATGCGAGGGCAAAATGAATTAAACCCTGCAGAAATGTGGAATAAAATGGAGTGAGTAGTCCTCGGAGCGGTGGAGTGTTGGATTAATTTACAACGCTGTGTTAACCGCCGAGTTCAACAAACTATGATTCTAGTATGGTAAGATCATAAATCATGAATCCGGTCTGATGTGTAAGGAAGCAGACGTGGTCTCTCTGAAACCATCGAACAAAATTAAACCTGAGGCTTGTGCAGTCGTCGTGGCTTCTCCCCAGTTCCCAGTTCGTGTCCCCGAACTGCAAGGCGACAGACGTCACGCGAACAATCAGATCTGAAGGTCTTGTGAAATCTGTTCAGACTTCGACGAGCAGGCCAGTGAAGAAGACCATGTTTGGTAGATATTGACCGACGTTTTGGAGAGCATAACTGCTTCCATCATCAGGATGGTGAATCTCCGATGGAAATTCGACCAGTTTGTACACTCCGTACAACAGAAACCGAGCACTTGAAATTTTTGAAAATCCTAAACCGGAAGTGACGTAAGCGTACAGCTGACGTCATAATTCGAGTCATCCGTGACATGGCCTTTCTCTGCCTACAATTATTTATTTATTTTTTGACAGATTACAGGTGAACGATGACACCAGTATATCTGCCTATTTTATGAAAGACAAAAATTTGGGGCTCGAGGCTATATTTCGCTCTGTTCGCCGTACGTAAGTCGCCAGGGTTATGGGATATGCATCCTGAGTTGGCCTCGATGTAGTTCCGTCGTCACCTACCGACTTATCCACCCGTGACGTATTTCTGTAGCCTTGTTCTTGCCGCCGGTCCTGGATTGTGATGAGAATGGAGAACGGTTTCCAGCCTCACCCGTCAATTAAATAAAGATACGTCCTTCGTACTAATGGGTACTTTCAAACATAACCTAACAAATTACATACACTGACTATCAAAGCGGGCAAGATGAACGAACCGCAGCCAGAAATTAACCACGGATGACATGAACAGCAAAGTTGGTTAGTGTCAGTGTTAATATTCGATTTAGGAGCCGATGTACTACGTCATATTTTGTACGACTAATTTGCCCTACGAAACAAAATAAAAGAACTACCAGCCGCCATGACACTTCTAGCTTCGCGAATGTGGCGCACATAATACGGCGATAATGTGAATGATAATACTGACTGTTACAGGAACTTTGCAGTTAAGTAGTTTTCTTTCGAATGCCGCGATATGCAACTGTCAGTGTCTATTTGAGTTTCACACAGCAGTTTGGAGACGTGCAGACAATTGTAATTAGTATCTGTGGGAATACGGAACACAACAATGTCCAGGAGTGAAGACGGACTGAGCAGAAGACAGGCTTCAGTTCCATTCTTGTTGACCATTGTTGAACGGTGCACCAGGCTACACGGTGCAACGTCCCGGAAGACAACAATTTTCACTGATGAATTGTCGCAGAAAGTGGGTTTGGGCGTGGGCGCTAGGTCCGAAAGTTGGCAGCTGTGACTCTCTATAATTTTCTGAGGGCGTGCATGTGACAGTTTGTTAAGTAGGATCTGAGGCTGCGAGGATATCTGAAACGTCGGTAAAGTTCTACCAGACTACGCGGTGATGCAACCTAGAAGACAGGTCTCTACTCAAAACAACGATCACAGAGACATTTGTCGAAGCTAGTCCACGTGACTCCTGTGAATCTGATTCGGCAGAGGAAAGAACAGGTTTTGTTGTGTGTTAATCTTATTTACAAGTGTGATTTGTTGAGTTGAAACTCCCGTCTCGTATCATCGTATTATGAGAACTTTGTTGGGCATCGGACGTCCAGCATTTCACAATTCCGCCTCAAGCAACTAACCACTGATTTACCTCATATGGACTGACAGATCCCCGACTCTCGCTTGTTACGAGTCGATCTAGTGACCTGCAAATGCAGTGTAACGTTGCGCCACCACGAATCGAGCCTAAGCGGTTAATCTCGATTAATCGAAACGGCTATATCGTTTCCATTGTTTGATTATATACGGCGTTAAATTGGAACGTGTACGTCGATTGTGATGATGAATCTGAAGGGATTTGGGAGGAAACGTTTCTTGAATATTGGAAGGTATTCTCCTACCATTAACAACGAGAGAATGAGGAAAATCACGAGACTCAACCGAGGTAAGCGGTTCCGGTCGGAATTCGTTGGCGCTGTGTCCCTCGTAGTAACTTAAATTGATTTGGCAACACTGCTGCCCCACCCTTGAATAAATATAACTGTGCACGGCATCGCTTGTTTCGAGGACACACCCCAGAGTGGACAATGGACATTTTCGAAACATCCTGCCAGTGAATTCTGTCCTCAGTCCATGTCACTGTGTCACACGCATTGTTTCTTTTAAGATCCATATTTTCGTTCCATCTACCCCTAGGTCTCCCAGGCCAACCTAACCTTTGTTTTCCAGCAAGTGTTTGTGAACTTTTCATATCTCTCATTGCCCATTCTCCTTGCTTTTATTCCCGAAATAATTTGAATCTTATGGAAAATACATTTTCCTGTTCCTTCGTCCTCGTTAGATCCAAATATTTCCCCCCACAATTTCTTCATAAAATATTTTAAAATATTTTCAATTTTGTGGTGATTCGTACCCAAACTAAAACTGCAGTTTTCTATAGTTTAATGTTCAGGGTTTTAGACAGAGACGCGAAAGTAAACATCATCTGCTTTCTAAGACGAGTGGTTGTTAGTACCCCCCCCTTCCCCTCGCTGGCTGTCCGTCCGTGACAGAAGAGCTCAATGGAGCCAATTGTAATCGAAACACGTTCCAAGTAGTGCCATTTATAACTCGCGTTTAGAGAATCCTCGTCTCGTATTTTTACTTAATGATCAGTCGAGAATATGGTAACTTCGTCGTGAAGGAAAGGCGTCTCGCTCGTATTTTTACTCCTTGATAAATCGAGAATATGTTAACTTCGTCGTGAAGGAAAGGCGTCTCATTCCATATCCTTTTTCGTCTTAGTGGCCGTGATTACTAAGATCACTGCCCTCGATTACGTAACTCCTCCTGTTGGATCCCTGCATAAATGACAGCACATTCAAGGGAATAGACAACATTTTAGACAAAAATATGTAATTGTCAAAACAGCAGCTTACCTTCCACGAACTGATCGTGGATTTAATTTCCCTCTTGAAAATCTGATGAACAAGATGGCGGTGTGTCAACCAATGTTCCAGAGGAGCGTGCCGCGTCCATCTTCAGGGCTTATGAACGAACAGGAACCTGATAGGTTATACAGAGGTTTTGTGGACGACTGGACCATGGAGCAGAGGGGAGATGGAACCAAATCCAGGGAGGCCAAAAGGAACGAGAGAGGAGAGTCAGATGAAGCCGTCCTCCTTGTCCTTATTCTGCTCTTTAGATTGTGAATCAGAGGCTTCCATGGGTTGTTCCGCCGTGTAGTCTGGTAGAACTTTACAGACGTTTCAGAGGTCCTTGCTGCCTCCATCATCAGGGCGATCTTCAGACTCACCGCCGTGCAGAGTAAAACTGTCCCGTGACTGCATTGGATTTTGCTTTAATAAACTCCGTGCTGACTTACATTTGAAACTGGAGGAATGTTTATGATTACTTAAACTCTAAGTAGGGGGGCTGTGGTCTTGCTCAAAAACGGGGCACAACTGCAGCTTGGTTCCAAAATGAGCCCCCCCCTCCCCCAATAAGTGAAGGTGAGCGGAGATGCCGGAGGAGACCCTCGATGTGTAATGCGAAGTGCGCAACCGCGTGACGTAATTGCCCCGGAGCCTACGCCGTGCAGAGTTCTCGTCTTTCGAGGAGGGTGCAGCAGTGTTGCCAAAATGACTGATGTCATGCTTTATCCTGAATAACCGCGTCATCGCCCATTCATTTTGTTTAGGCAGGGTCTCAAGACGTGTCTGACGCATCCGCCACTCATTAGTCGCTCTCATGCGCACGCGCGTGTTTTCCACGCAGCCAAACGTTAGTCATATATTTATTTGTAGTTTTTCAGACATGACAGTGAATAATGAATTGGGAAGGATGTGGAAGGAAGCGGTCGTGGCCTAATTTAAGGTATTATTCCGGGACTTTCCTAGAGAGACTGAGGAAAACCACGACAACCCCAGTCTCCGAGCCGAACGTTGGTCAGATTGAATACAAGATGCAATTTAAAATGTTAATTTTACGATAAAGTTTTAGAATAAAAACATTACAATGTTACGCGTAATCTAGTGCGTGTTTCGAGACTAGGCGGTAGGGCGTAGTGAGACGCTTTCTGAAAACACGAAAATTGTGCTCTGAGATGTTTTTTGAGGAATTTAAATTCGCCTGACAAGGTTCCTTGCTCTACTAGATTTGGCTGAGATTCGTCAGGGGCGAAATACTCGAACGGACGGACACGTCGCGTTAAAAGGGCGGGATTCTCGCCACAGATCAAAAGCATTCAGAAATGTAACGTTTCGGTCTGTTTCAACTTTTTACTCCCAAAAACAAGCTGATTATTGCTAGAAATTTCGGAAGTAGATCGTCTTTTATTTCCTAATTGTCACACTTTAGTTACCGTGATTCCCGCTAGTGTAGGACATGAGACGTGTCTCGTATGATGCGAGGGTTGCATGTTGGCCGCCTAGAATAACATCGAATCGAGGTTGTTCTGTGAACACGGGTTCGCGCCTTTGAGGGTTTCATTAAGCCGCTGAGGCAGGACACGTTCGTCCGTCTGTCGCGCATTGTGATGGATGAGTCCCCGGACGGACTGCCGTACAAACAGGTCGGCGACCTTTGATTCGGCCTCAGCGGATAATTATCGTCTTATAGCTTTGTATCGAAATGGCAGTTTTCGGATTGAAATTCGAAACTGACAAATCCCTCCTACGTGCTTATGCCGAACAGTTCATCTAAGGGGCAGACTCTTGGTCGACACGATACATCGACCACACACTCGGGACTGTTGCTTTAAAGGATTCTATGAAGAAAAACTCCCGGAGAATCTCGCGGTGGACGGCGGGGGGTAGTCGGCTAGTGTTTTGTTGAGCCGAGTATGCTCTCACTGGTCGACAGGAGTTTAACTGGGCCTTCCGAGGTCCTACGGGCCACTGAAGGCGTGATAACCTTTCCCGCGAAATTCTTCGACAGATTCATCCCGAGGCACTACTTCCCACCAACATGTCGAGACTCTCGCGTTGTGTCCGTACTGAAGCCGGGTAAAGATCGCACGCTCTGTCCGTCCTGCGTTTCCTGTGGAAGTTCTGCGTGACGAGAGGTTCTGGGTCTGTGGAAGGTATCGACAGAGATTTGAAGGAGAGAGGGCGAAGCGTCGTAAAACCTCCTCCAACTCCACGTCTGCGTCTCCCCCAGTCGTGGAGGCTTTTGGTGCTATCCGAGCCCCCAAACTCCTCTCCGCAAAGGACAGTTTGCATACTGAGAACTTTCTCCCACCTCACCTTCAACTGGCCTCAATTTGAAGACGACAAACGTTTCTTGTTCTATTCCAGATCAACATTCCGAACGCAGTAATTGTTTAACCGGCCGAGGGCCTCGCGCTTAACTTGAGGCTCCCTCTTGGTCAGAAAAGGACGTTTGTTAACATGGAGTTAGTTTGCAACCTACTTTTCGCCAACCCGTCGTACTAATTACAGCGCCATTTTGTGTTCGGTTTTGAACTTACCGAATATTTATTCAATAACAGTGACACTCTGATCTGCTGCTTTTTTTTTTGCATTTAATTCCGATGCGAGGAATCTTTTCGACACCCGGTGTACATCCTGCACAATGGCTTTAGCCTTTATAAACGTCTATAGAATAGAGAAATGTCTGTTTTCGCAAATGAAATTCGAATTAGCGAATATTACTCGGCGATGGCCACTGTGTTTACTGACTTGTCTTACTGTCTCTCGCAAACGGACTATTTCTTCAGTTCGCGGAGGGGAAATTGGCAGCTTTCCACACGTTTTATATAGCTGTGCTATAATACCTACCAGGGGAGTCCAGACCGGCTCTCCGATTGAAACTCGCTGCCAGCTGTCCTCTCCACGATGTAACATCATCACTCTACTTTATGTAATTTATAAAGCATGTACCCCCCCCCCCCTCTAAAACTTCTGAACCAGTTGCTGTTTGTTCATGAATTACGCGCACTAAAACTTCCATAACCTGGTTTATGTGAGGTTATGTGTGATCTGAATTAAGCGATATTTGCAGTTGGCGAAGTGTCGATTAAAAAACGTTAATAATCGCAACACCAGAATTATTACAACTCGTGCTCCAGCCATTCTGAGGCAGTTTCCATGACCTTGGAACGCAGTTTGTTGTGTTTTTACTTAAATCAGATTCTATCGGGAAACAATCTAATTGCCCCACTGAAATAACTCGCCTGCTTGGTGTCAGACCCCGAGCGCTAGGTCAGGCCTCGGGAATCTTCCCGAACAGACGTCCACGCTCCTCCCAACAAGGACTGGACCATCGTCGGCCGGCCTTTCATCCTCTGTAACAGCGTGCAGAGAAGAAAGTAGAACCTCGAAGAGACCGCAGACGCATCTCAGTGCGTGCCCCTCGCATTAATAGTAAACTGCGTCTTAAAATAAATTTTATGTTCGTATTTGGATTCACGAAACTGGGTCCTGATTCTCGCTGTGCGTCTTAAAACAACCAATTTCCTTTCGCAGTTGTGATTACGGCGCTGATCGTATTGTGCAGCGTGGCAGTGCTGCTGCTCTGCGGCTGGTTCGTGTACTCCGTCTTCATCAAAACGACACCCGAGTGGCAGAGAGACGACTTCATGATTGAAACTATTCCAGGTACGTAGACAAAGCGTGAAGAGAAAATGGATTCGAAACTGGACCAAGGACTAACTGTTCTCAGATTCTCTTTGTCTGTTTGTTGTTGTTAAACTTGCTGTAGGATTTCATGTTCTGTCGGCGGTGAGCATGAAACAAACGCGACTTGGGCTCGCCTTTGTCTGTGTGGTATAAAACCGCCTTGCTGTGATTGCATTAGATCTGAAAGGTTATGTTTGTTATGCAAAGTGTGCAGAAATCTGAGAAAGAGTCCACTGCCTTCTCAGAAAGAAGATGAAAGGACGGACCTGTCGGAATTCTTGACATCTTTCCTGTTACTGAACGCGGCTGTTTGTCTGTTGCCAAATCGACGCCCCTCTCGGAACCAGGTTCATCTACTGCATTTTCCTGGATTTTGAACGTTGCCATTTACATTCCTGACCCAAGTCACAACCTAGCGCCCTCTATGAGTTGGTGTTTCTTTGCCTCAGTAGGTTTTGTTCGTGACAGAACTTGATGTGACTTTAGTTGGTGTCATCCAACTAATTAGACTTCAGGAAACTAAGCCTAGTTGCAGATTCAAATTAAGTAGGCCGCGAGATAAACATGTTTACCGTATGAAATACTTGATGTTCGCAGGTCTCAGGTTTGGTCCCAAGGACCCAGACGGCAATGCAGACGGCAGCTTGATCTCGTTCAGCCCGGGAAATCCAGAGAGCTACAGGAAATGGACAAATGTCATGGAAGATTTCGTAGCAGGTATTGTGTTTTCTGACCACACACACACTGACTTTAAAGTCGGTAATTACCTGTGTTTACCGACCGAAACGGAGTGATTCTGAATTTATAATTTACGTGTGATTTGTTGAACAATTTTCCTAACTCAGCACAACACAAAAAAAAACGCGGACAAACATCCGTGGCTTGAGTGGGATTCGAACTCACGGTCCCAGCGACCAAGCGGCACAAGGCCCACGCCTCAGACCGCGCGGCCACCGCAATGAGGAATAACTTTTTTGAATGCATCTCCTGAAGAGTGTGTTCTGAAATCTCGTGTTAACACCAATGACGACATGAATATTGTTTCTTTCGGTTTGCAAACTCAGCTGTAGAAAAATTAAAATGAAGGCAAATGTTTATGCAGATTAGGGAGAAATGTTGATTATTAACACGGCCGACTGAGCAAGGTCCAATGTTTGTTTTACAGGGTACATGAACACAAGCAAATCCGCACGGAACGCAGTCAAATGTGACTATGATGTTCCTCCGAAGCCTGGGAACGTATGTGTTCTGGACTATACTGCACTGTTTCCTTGTACCAAAGAAAATTACTTCGGTTTTTACAAGGCGTCGCCCTGTATCTTCATCAGATTTAATAAGGTAAACATCGTACTCATGCTTTTATTTAAACGTACGTGTCTTCTGATTCCAGAAATAAGCCGATTCGCTCTACGTCGACATGCCAGGAGAAATTTATCTTCCAGGAGAGTTTTTACTATTTTTCCGTGTTTATGAAGACATTTCCATTAATTTCCATTCTATACTTTGCGAAAAAGTAATTAAATGTGAAAGAATTCAACTTCGTCACCCTTTATTTTATAATCTGCATGCCGTAGTTCACATCCATTCCTCCGGTGGTTATTCCCATCAAATGGAAAACTAAATACAGCCATGTTTTACATTAAACGGAGAGAGAGAAAATGATTTATGAAATGTTTCACTGTGGCATAATTTATTTATGTAACTTCCAGCTTTTCCATTAAAAATGCAGAATTACGACAATAAGAACAATGTTTGTGCGCTCTCCAGATCGCAAATTGGACTCCGGAGTATTACGACAATGCGTCCCAGTTGCCTCCTGAAATGCCTGCTCATCTGCAGCACAGAATATCCGAGTACTACAACATCTATCGGAATCTGGTAAGAGACTTAAGTCATATTCATACTTACCCTCTCTCAGACGAGCGTTATATGACCAAGTGAAGTTTTCATTCACGTTTCAATTGGTATGAAGTGTGCCATGTTTTTTTATTAATTTTTGGCTTCCTCTTATTGAATGCTAAGTCAAAATGTTAATTGGTTGTGTCTGAAATAACATGGTTATTGCAAGATTTAAAGATTTTATGATTCTGTTACATTTAGTAGGCCTGTAATTCTTCTTCTTCTTCGGCGCTACAGCCCTGTGTGAGCCTCGGCCTCCTCAATGACCCTCCGCCATCTGTCTCGCGCCACCATCCTCCAACTTCTGCACCCCAACACCCCTGCGTCCTCCTCCGCTCCATCAACCCATCTTCTTTCTTTGTCCTCCAGGATTGCCGTCAGTGATTTTCTGTGGTGGGTCACCGTCTTCCATCCTAGGCAGACCAAATGTTTGAAGTGGACTGAGGTGTTTGATGCACGTGTCAAAAAGAATTGGTGTAATCTTACATTTGGAAAGAAATGGAGCGTTGTGCATGTGTGCGAGCGCGTTTCTTGCAGTCTTCACGATCGCTCGTTTTTAACGTGCAGATGAAAACAGTTTGGCTGAGCTGCGATGGAGAGACAGCGGCAGATGTGGAGAACGTGGGACCAATCCAGTACTTGCCCCGACCAGGCTTTCCTGGTTATTTCTTCCCGTACAACAACACAGAAAATTACATGAGCCCCGTAGTCGCCGTTCATCTCGAAAAACCTCGTCAAAGTAAGTATATTGATCTGTGTTGTGAACTGTTTCAAGATGCCACGACTGGCAGCAGAAACTGGGTTTAGAATGACTAGAAAAAACCATTTTTTGACATCCATCTGAAGTAACAGGCAAGGGGACCAGAGGGGCAGTAGGAGATACCGGGGTAAAAAGCATTTCCTGAAATATAAGCGAAGAATTGTTTCCCAGCAACAAAGCTTTGTAGCTCCATATCTGAGTTCCTGTCAGTAATGTTTTCGGTTTACCTTCTACTCTCAGGCTAGCGACAAGGGAATAATTCATGTAAGATTTCACAGCGATGAGTATGAATATTTCTGTCTTCTGGGTTGTTGCGCTGTGTAGTCTGGTCGATGTTAACCGACGTTTCAGAGGTCATACTGCCTCCGTCATCAGAGTGTGAAGATTTCTGTCTTCTGGGTTGTTGCGCTGTGTAGTCTGGTCAATGTTAACCAACGTTTCAGAGTCAGGGC